CAGAATTAAAAGCTACATGTAGAAGACCTTTCCCCTCGTGATCCTTTCTCCTATGCATGCATGTTGCCAATTGTTGGTGCAGTACAAGTTAAAGTTGAAAGCAGCATTTCAAGTGTTGTGATTATTGTGAGGTTTTGTGTGAAATTTTAATTTTCAGCTATCACATTTCGGTAATTTCTTACTTTTTAGACGGGGTCCATGGACTAGAACACAATAACTTTTTTTAGAAAACTGCCATAAAGCAGTTTTTATTGCTATAATAAACAAGAGTGTGCAACTCCAGCTATGGGGTCTGCGACGGCAGAACTTCACATCACGTGATGAACCCGTGCACTCTAGTGCATGATAGATACTGGGTTGTACGCAGCCCAGCTTTGGGTACAACTCTCTTGTGGTCACTTTGCACTGTTTGCCAGCATAACCTTTTGAACCATGTCACGTGATGTGAAGTTCTGCCGTCGCAGCACAGCATAGAGGTTGTGCAGGCAGTTGCACACTCTTGTTTATCTACTCTTGGTGAAACCAAGAGTACATGGGGTTATGTACTCTTGGTGAAACGTAGAGCAGAACAGCATTTCTTTACGTTACGGGAACGCGAAGAAAGTTCGCGTGATTCTTTGCGTCTCGTTCCCAGTAGTAGTAGTAGTAGTAGTAGTAGTAGTATTTATTATTTGACTAGGGGAGTCCCAACAGGCATGGCCTTGTTACAGGGAACCCTAGGTGAATCTTTGTGAGGTGAGCAAAAGTACCAGCAGATTGTGCCTGACGACAGTTTGGAGGAAGAGTGTTCCACCGACCTGCCGCCAGAAAAGAAACTGAGCGCAGTCCATACCCAATATGTACAGTAGGTAATACTAAGGCAGCTGTATCCTGGCCACGAGTACGAGCATTTGTGTGCGGGCCAACTGAACGCAGGAGAAACAGTGACTGAAGGAGGGGGCTAGTAATTGATGACAAGCAGCGATAGACCAAAACGTATAGTTTCAAATTAACTCGTTGCTCAAACGAATACAGATGACACCGTTGTAAAACTAATGCAGTTGGGGTCATTCTATCTAAACCAAATGCCTTCTTCATCGCAATATGGCTGACCGTTACAAGCCTGTTATATAGGGTAGTTTTCAAACAGTGCACATACGCATTACTTGCATATTCTAGAGTAGACTGTATAATTGACAAGAAGAAAGTTCTCCGAGCTGTAGCTGATAAATTGCGACGGCCATGAGCAAAACAGGCTAGTTTAGCGAAGACCACTGAACACACCTTTTCTACTTGTGGGCGGAACGTTAGATGCTCATCGATTAGTATACCGAGGTATTTCACAGTAGAGACAGGGGAAATGACAATACCTTTACAGGTCAGGTACAGGGCTGGGCTCAGTGCAGGCAGGGCAGGACGCCGTATCAACATGAACTGTGTTTTAGTGGGGTTGAGCAGAAGGCCTTTCCCAACACGTAGAGCAGAACCTCCCTACAAACAAACAAACAAACTAACTAACACCAAATTAAAGCTGTGTGGACCCTGGCTAGCGCCAGACATTACTGAAGTAACGTCTTCTGCATAGCTACGGGAATAAATACCATCGGTCCCTTGGTGTTCGTCCTAAAGAGGTTCGACTGGATATCATTCATACTCACCAAAAGATGTGCAGCATTTTATTATTATGGAGTGCCTTGTTTATCTCTCAGTACCTCCAGGGTACCCTGTAAGAAGGCCTTAGGCCTGTAGGGATTGCCCTATCAAATATTTGACAATTTGATAATAATAATAATAATAATAACCTCCAACCATAGCCTTGCCCCTTTTATCCTCAGGATCAGTGTAGTTGTTGGAACGAGGTGTCAGACTCAACAATGTTTACATTTTAATACATGTTTATTGTTCCTCCTTTGCTGTGTTGTTTTAGAAAATCGTGGACTAACAGTTTGAAGTCATTGAACTACTTCCAAAAGTTGTATCGACATCAACAGGATTACGATTTCAGTGCAATATAATGCAGGATGACCTTATCACGATAACCCATGATTATAAACAATTATAAGCACAGAATCAACAAAAACATCTGCGATACGCACCTGCCTATATTTCTCAAGTAAATACATGTATGATCGAGGGTGGGGAAATCTGAAATATCTGAAAGGGCAAGGCAAGACGATTTTATGACAGGCATGAAATTCTGCAACAGCAACATGCACAGAATGACCTGCGTATAAAAAAGTATCACCACCACTAACCACATGTTTCCCCCGCAGAAGAACATGCGTTATGCTACAACAAACAAAAAATGTAGTGCCATTTTCTGCAAGAAAAGGCTTCCACATCAATGCGTATAGTACGGTATCAAGAGTACATAACCCCAAGAGTGTGCAACTCCAGCTATGGGGTCTGCGACGACAGAACTTCACATCACGTGATGAACCCGTGCACTCTGTGCTAGTCATAGCCCAAATTTGCTAGCAATTCTTTGAGCAAAATATCGGATGCGCAAGTTGCCGGCAAGTTTTGAGCAAAATATCGAGTTTTGGTGGGCTTTTCGGAAAATCCAAGGCTTCTCAGGGACTTTCCCAACACAATCAGCAATCAAGGTTGAAAATGAGCACAAAAGTTGGACAAAGCAGACTCGTGGCTACATTTTTGTAGAAAGGTGAGCAGCAGCAGAAGCTCAATCAAAAATACCGGCGCCATCAGCGACAATTATCGTTGAGTTTTCCTTGAAACTCATTTTATCTCGAGCAAAACCAAAGCAAAATACCGACGGAGAAAGGAAATGCCAAGCAGAATATCGAAAATTTTGTGGCAAAATTGTGCGGCAAAATATCGATGTAGGCTGAGCAAATTTGGGTCATGACTACTCTGTGCATGATAGATACTGGGTTGTACGCAGCCCAGCTTTGGGTACAACTCTCTTGTGGTCACTTTACAGTGTTTGCCAGCATAACCTTTTGAACCATGTCACGTGATGTGAAGTTCTGCCGTTGCAGCACAGCATGCATAGAGGTTGTGCAGGCAGTTGCACACTCTTTCGCGTTATGTACTCTTGACGGTACATGTATTTATATGTATATTTTATATTTATTACATATCAAGACTCGGTGGAAACACCGGCCAATGCTAAAGAAAGTGGGTGATTGCCAACCACGGTGATAAATAAAAGTAAGGGGAGGGAAAAAGAAAGAGAAGCATAATGAACAGCAACAACAACTCCGTAAAAAAAGATATGATGTGAAGGCCATCATTTACATAAGGGCATTCCATTGATTGGTGACAGAAAAAACAAAAGAAATCATAGCAATAAAAACTGCTTTATGGCAGCTTTCTAAAAAAAGTTATTGTGTTCTAGTCCTGGGTCTGGCCTAGGCTATAAACAATTTATAAATTGCTTCCAAACTGCCTTAAACTCCGTCTAAAAAGTAAGAAATTAACGAAATGTGATTGCCGAAAATTAAAATTTCACACAAAACCTCACAATAATCACACACAGGATGAAAAGCTAAAAGATCTTTCCCCTCGTGATCTTCTTTCCCATGCATGCATGTTTGTGCAGTACAAGTACAAGTACAGTGTCAGACTAAACAAGTGTTGAAAGCAGTACTTGATTGTCAAGTATTGTGATTATTGTGAGGTTTTGCGTGAAATTTTAATTTTCGGCAATCACATAACGTTAATTTCTTACTTTTTAGACGGAGTCTAAGGGTGCGTTCCTTAATTCTCTAGCTTCTAGGAGAAGAAGAAAAGAGAAGTCGAAGAAACTGGGATTCTTCAAGAACGGGTCTCGAAGAATTCGGAGATATTTTGCAGATGTCAAGCAAAATGAAGCGCCAAAGGGACCGCGATCTTGAGTGCCACGAATATAGTATGCGACGTGCGTATGCGAAAAGGCAAATGCGTACACTCATGATGAACACGTGGCTTTTAGCCTAGTTCGCATGCGCTGATCCCAAACCGCGGGAATCTCCAAGTTTCAACCACCTCTGAAGCTTGGAGAGCTTGGAGAGCTTTGGAGAGCCTCCTAAAATTCGGAGAGGATATAAGACCAGCTCTCGAACTTTTCGGAGAGTCTCCAACTTTTCCGAGAGGATTTAAGAACGCACCCTAAGGCAGTTTGGAAGCAAATAAATAGGCCAGACCCAGGACTAGAACACAATAACTTTTTTTAGAAAGCTGCCATAAAGCAGTTTTTATTGCTATAATGGCACTTGTTGTTGTTGTTGTTGTGTGAGTGCGTGTGTGTGTGTGTGTGTGTGTGTGTGTGTTTGTTTTCTTTCCTTTTCTTTTCAGCTGTCTTGTCCTGATCATGCCTCATGCGTGTTGCACAGCATAGTACGTTTCCGCTCATTCCTTCTTCAACACACGCTAGCTGTATTACTTTGTTCTTGCCCGTACAAGAGGCTTTTGTAGGTTTGGAATCAGGGAGTAGTACAATACAATTGTACTACTCCCTGTTTGGAATCAAGGGTTTTCGTAGGGTACCGGGTAAGTACTTTTTCATGTACAGTACAATAAGTACAGTACTGCATGCGGCAAGTAGGACTCGCCTATCCGCCCCCCCCCCCCCCCCCCCCCCCCAAAGCGTCGAGGAGGTAGGGGCGCTCTGGCCTAGCCTGTTGGCGGGATTTTACGGTAATTGTAGTTTTGTCAACAAAACCGCATGCACACTATCCTTCGTTTGTACGTAGTGCGAACGTATTTGACACACATGCTGTGAGTTTTCGTAACCCCCAAAACTGGCAAAAGTGTGCAACTCTACATATGGGGTCTCTTTGTGCGTATCACTCATTTTGTCTATCGTACAGACTTTCAACTGAGCCTGAACTCGACCCGGGTTGAAATTTCTCATGTAACCAAATTTGCAAAGCCTAACAGTATAGCATTAGTGCATGAACCCGGTACATGTAGTCCCGCACAGTTCTTCTTTCACAGTCATCAGTACCATTGAAAAGAGAAGGAGCAATTTGGTCCTGCTTTTCCGAAAAGCACTACTAGTACTTGTATTTCTCTGTACGACCAATCGGCATTTCGCAACAGAAGGAGGGCTGTCGAGAGAGGGAACCCAAGTTCCTATGTGGCATAATATCTTTGGATCTCACAGGCTGTTTGCAACGAAGACATCATGAACGTTTCAAACTTGTGTGTAAGTACTCAATATTTCTATAGCTGTTAGTTTTCTTTGTTGTCACTTGTAGACAACTACTGTGTTATCAAGAACATAATATTACTATGATAAGGGGTCGTCCGTATTATTCGAAAAATTAAAAAATCCGTCCTTGTGCAGAAAGGCCAAGGGGTGGTCAAGAGCAGGGAGTAGTACAATACCATATATTGTACTACTCCCTGGTCAAGAGCGCTGGCGGAATTTAATTTTTCGATTTTTCGTACTTTTTTTTCGTCAGTGATTTTCATACACTTGTTGCACTGACATGTAGTGCACTGTAGACGTAGGCTGTGTTTACATGAGAAATTTCAACCCGGGTCGAGTTCAGCCCGGGTTGAAAGTCTGTACGATAGACAAAAGAGCTGAGCGTTTACATGAAGACAGTTGACCCG